TAGTTAATCGAAAAAACCAATATCACACTCAGTGACACTCGAGTGACATCTGCCTCCTGGTCGTCCTGGCGACAGTTTTATAACACTTTAAATATTATTTAGGTCTCGGGTTACGTGTTTATTGCCCAAAATATCCAACAAGCTGGAGAGTACAATCCCTTTCGAGGACATGCGTGACCAATAGCGTTTAAAAAAGGGTTGCTCTAAGGGGTTGCCCATTGATACAATTAAAATTGCGCTGCAAATGTGCCATGAAAATGCAATCCCAGGGTGGGGCTTCATCGTTAGATTTTACGATGCGGCTTTCCAATGAAAACCAAGACTCCTTTTCCCTTCCTAGTTATTCACTTACCCAGTTATAGCACTTCCGATTGCCCTTGGTATTTCCTAATTGAATTGAAGAAGGTAAAATCGCAAGACAGGCAAACTATATAGCCAACTTTTCGGTATCCCTGTATCCACTCACCGGGTTCAGTTCTCCCCCAAAGTCTCGGGAATGGCTTGTTTTGCATGTTAACAAGATACTTCCGCTCGAAATGGCACTTTGGGTGTACTCACGAATGAAAACGTAATGTTATTTCCCCATTTTCATATGTCACACAGCCAGCTCTAACCAACTCTGAGGTATTTTCATTGCATAATTAACCCAGCCCACCTGGGCGTTATATTTACCTGTTACCTGGGTGGGTGAGTGAGGTGTTTTTCGTAAGGAAAGTTGAAGGGTTTTGCTGGTTTAAGTCGTGAGTAGCGTGCGGTAACTGGGGGTTAGTTAAGGTTAATTAAATATTAAATATTTGAATTACTAAGATAAGCTCTAAAGACATTCTCCTATTGATCCCAAAGAAAATTAATTATAATTTTTTATTCATTATAAATTTAATATCAATATAAGCTTTAAAAGCATTCTCTTTTGGCCTTTACAATTCCAAAATAAATATCCACAATCTCCTCTTAGTATTTCAGAATTATTCCCACCTATCTTAGGCTCTCTGGCAGCTTAAGGCCTCCTTAAAGCCAACCATCTTATGATGGCCATAAAGAAACATCTCTAGTTTCAAAGGCTGTTCCATCTCATCCACTATCCTATACATATATTCCTGCAGGAACATACAGCTCAATAATCTGGCTGGGATGAGACTCATTTGCTCAATCGTAGCTGGGCTGACTGTGCTGAAATTATCGCAGCTCCCACGCCGCTGTTGTATCTCAAAGATACTCCGCTGTATCTTTTTTTTCGTGGCTTGATTGCCTGAGCGCAGGCGTAATGAGGCGATCGGCAATGTCAAATACGCAGATCTCTTCAAGCGATTGCCGCGCCGTGGGTGGTCTTCGTACCTCTCCGCCTCGAGAGGAGACACACCCACACGTGAGAGCGTGTGTGTAGATGGTTCAATAAAGTCGCCTCAAGATACTGATACAGATACAGATACAGATACAGAGTATATGTGAACCCTGGGATTTGCATAGGCCCAGAAACTCATTAAGCCCTAAGGGCATTAGAAGCGCCGCCGAATAGCCAGAATGCTCGTAAATCTCCAGCTAGTTTTGGCCGACAAACAGACACTGGGCAACACTTCTTCTGGGGGGAGGAGAAGGAGAAGTGTGAGCGCATTTCGCTGTAAGTTGGTGTTTCATTAATAATCCGAAACCGAAAGGGCAGCCGAGCCAGAGTCCAGAGGCAGACTCAGAGCCCAGTTACCAGACTCTGGCTGGTCCCTGTCTCTTCATAAATCTTGTGTCGCATAATTACAGTTAAAATTTATAAGCTTATCTCCTTAGCCGCAAATTTATTGGCGGAGAGTCCAGCATCCAAACAGCAACGCGAGAGCGTCCGTCAACGCGCTGAATGTCGTTCAACCAAAATGCAGAGAGAGAAAATGGTGGTAAATATGGTAATATTCTTTGTATAATATTGTTAAATATTTGTTTTATAATTTTGTAATAGCAGATGCTTATGATTAAAAATAATTAATTTAATTATCATTAAAGAAAAACAAGAAAGAAAGCTAACTTTGGCCAACCAAAGTTTGTATACCCTTGCAGGTAACAATTAAAATATATCATAACTAAGCCAAAAATGCATTAATTTCGATTCGGAAAGCAGTTTTGTGTTAGTTTTTATTAATTTAAAAAAACTGCATACCAAATTTAAAATTTTAAGAAATCAAAATTTTGGGTCATTTTTGCTAATTTTAATGATGTAACCCCTTATCAAATTTCGCAAAAATGGCCAAAAAATCGAATTCTTCCGGACATGTCTAGAAAGATTCGTCTGTTAATGCTGATCAAGAATATATATGGTTTATGGGGTCGGAAATGATTCCTTGACTTAGAAAAATATTATTTTGTATTATAAAATCGGATTTTTTATATTAAAAAACTTCTTGATTTTTTTAAAATTAAAAATATCATAACTCGGCCAAAAGAGCATTAATTTTAAATCGGAAAACTGTTCTGTGCAAGATTTTCTACAGTTAATAAATCTGCATACTTCATTTAAAATTTTTGAAAATTCAATTTTTTATCAAAATCAAAAATTTTAATGATGTAACCCCTTTTAAAATTTTGCAAAAATGGCAAAAAAAAATCGATTTCTTCCTGACATATCTAGAAAGATTCCCCTGTTGATGCTGATCAAGAATATATATACTTTATAGGGTCGGAAAGGTCTCCTTCACTGGGTTGCAAACTTCTGACTGAAATTATAATACCCTGCAAGGGTATAAAAATAATTTCAATAAAATATATTTTCACTTTCATAAATTTATAATTAATCTAATTTTCTCAAATATTTAATTTCATAATTTAAAATCCATATTTCTCCCTGTGCACTTGCCAAATTCCCAGTTCCCAGTTCCCGTTTCGCCCCGTTCTCGTTCCGGTCTTTCCCTGTTTTGGTTCCTTTTTGGCTCCGCTCATTAAACGGTCTCCAAGTATTGGCTAAAAAATGTGTATTTAAAACGGCGTGAAAACAATTTGTTGCCAATTTTATGACGCCTTTACAGACTCTACGCTGTTGGCTGTGCAAAACAAATTCATTTGAAAGTCTGTGGTCTTTGGGTACTAAGTGTCAACCCATAGATTTATGCGTATTGTCTTTTTTTTCGGGGTTACTTGCGGGGCATTCCGGGAACCCTCTCTGGCCGCTGGACGGTGGACTCTCGAGTCTCCGGATTCTGGGATGCTGCTTTCGGCTTTAACTCTCTCGCCAAGGCTGCGAGCTGCCAGACATTAATCATTTGGCGCACAAGGGGTTAAGCGGGGCGTTCTTGTAATGTGTGACCGGGAGAGGGAGAGGGAGAGGGAGAAGGGTTAAAGGGGGGTATCACCCCGGTATGGACCCCGGGACAGCAGCGGGATTAATGTACGCGGACAAGGTATTTGAATGGGCCTTTTTATGGTCACATTTATTGAATTTATAACGTAATATACTCGTGCAACCGTGACTCATGGCTCACTCTTTCTCCCTCTCCTTCCCTGAAAGGCCATAAAAAATTATGCTTAAACAAAATACTTGTTGGCCATCTATAAATTCAGCAAAATATTACTAAACTTAAATTGACTTTTTATGAAGTTATATCTGCGAACGCGAACGCGTGCCATAAAAAATCACTTAGGAGAGGAAATCACAAGGAGAAGAAACTCCCACGCACAGTGGAGACTCGCTGGTCGCGAATAAACTGTCATACGTATACGTAATGGCCTGTATAACGCCACAGTTCTTACGTTCAAACAACAAAAACAAATGTCGCCGGTGGAAACGTGAAATGAAACCCAAAACCGAACCGTAAATCATTCACGGCGAATTAAGACGTTTTTTTTTTCTGTTTTGTTTTTTGTTTTATTTTTATTTCGCACTTTTAAACGCAACTGTGATTTTGTTGTTATTTTTGTTGTTATTGTTGTCTGTCAGTTGCTCAAAAAGCCACAAATTAAATATACCATAATGGTTTATATAGTATACACTTAAGATTACTTGTTATACATTTTATTTATGGTTTGGCTAATGGTTTTTTAGTTAGCTCATCGGTTGAAATAACTAAATTTATAAGTTAAAGGTAATTTATATAAAAAGTATATTTAAAAACAAATTCTTAACATAAGGCAGCAGAAGGGCGATGATAATTAGCACAGTTAAAATTTGTTATAAGACTGCTCTCTTTGAAGAAGGCAACTCTTAAGCTATATAATATTATAGTAAATCTTGTAAAGAAAATGTTTTTAATTATAAAAAAAGCTTTGTTTATACTTATCCCTTTATTTTGTTGCTAAACTCCACAACTTTTGATAGCTTACCGTGTTTCTGCCTTCCACTGTACCGCCTTATACCTCTTTTAAACCCCTCTCTTAACCCACTTCCTCTCCTCCCCCTAAGCCCCCCTTTTAACCCATTGCCGCCTGCAATGACAGACACATTTAACACCTACGCGCAGCGATGTTGACGCTGAACTTCAGCGCGCGAAGCGAAGCTCTGCAAAAGCGCCGTCTGCTGCTGCCGCTTTGACGCCGTCGCCGGGCCGTCAAGGTGTCAATTTGTGCCGCTGGCACACTCGCACACCTGCAAACACACACACACCACATGGATTTGACGACTGTATGCAAATTTAATGGCTAAATTAGATGGAGGGAGAGCGCGAAAAGCAGAAAACAAAAAGCAAAGAGGAGGAATTTAATAATTTAATGTTAGGAGAAGTCAGAGCGCGATCGAGACGCCGTTTATTAGGCGTGATTATGCTCACAGATAGCGAGTTTTAAAAATCAATTTGCATAATGAATTCAATTTAATTTAATTTGAATTGTAATTCCAGCAATTGTCTCCATAAAAAATCGTTTGATCTGGCGCATTCGTTAATTGAGTAATTAATGCCGACGCCCACATATTCATATAACTATCCGTGAGATGGAGGACCACCCACAGATACAGATAACCAGATACAGATACGGCAAATCAAATAAAAATTATGCAAAAATTCTTTGTGATAACGACGCAGACGGGCATATATAATTTAAATGTTTATTAAATTATTTAGTTGTGAATTTATGAATCTATTTATACAAAAACGAACACACACGCAATCGGGTCTCTTTTGTATTCTTCTGAAGATTTCTTCTTGAAGATTTGCTTGGTTTCTTCTACTCGATGCCGTGTTGCGTGTGCGCTGGACTAGAATATGGTACAACTTAATCGTTTAGTTAGTTTTAAGACCTAGGCCTTACACGCTATGCCTTCCATATAAATACTAAATCGTAGATATTGCTCGATCTCTATAGCCTTCCCTTTAGCAGGTCTCCTTCGAGGCTGCCGCCGCTGTGGCCGCCTCTTGGAGCTCCTGCATCTCCTCCTCCTCGCGGGTCAGCGGCACCGTCGAATGGTTGTACAATCCCTGGGCCATCAGCTGCAGCGCCAGCGGATTCTTCGTTCCGCTCGACTTTTTCAGCTTGGCCCGCTTGTTCTGGAACCAGATCTTGATCTGGGCCTCGTTCAGGCCCAGTTCCCCGCTCAGCTGCTGGCGCCGCTTCTCAGTGAGATAGCGATTCTCGTTGAACTCGTGCTGGAAGTGGGCGAAAATTTGGTAAAACAAGTGGATTAGTTAAGAGAAAAGGTGGTATTTTTATAGGAAAATTAATATTTATTAAACCCCTTGTGATTTTAATTATTATTTAACTCACCTTCAGTCTCGCCAGCTGCGTGCCACTGAAGGCCGTTCGCGGCCGCTTATCCTCCGGTGTGCCACCGTCCGTGGCCTCACCCTTGTCGCCGCCCACGCCACCACCTCCACCGCCGCCGCCACCCGCCGCTGCACTGGACGTGGCTGGCTTTTTGGGCTTTCGCGTTCGCGGACCTGGTGAGAAAAACACAATGAGGATGGTCATAAAAATTCCAGGGAGCGCTTAATGGCACCAACATGACTGGAAAATGGAAGGGGCTGGCTGCAGAAACTGAACCTGAAGCTGGACCTGTGGCTGTGCCTCAACCTGCCCGACGACTGCCAACTCATCGGGCGGACATAAATCCTGCGCCTCATATATGCAGCGAGGATGCCCGGCAATTAATTCACATTTAAATGCGTCCAGTCAACCCCCAGAAGGAGCTGTCTTCCTCGCAAACTCCTCACCAGCTAAAACAATTAAAGTTTTTGGTTGGAAAATTTGCTCGCGTCATTTTCCCAAAAAGTAATCAACGCAATGACTTTTGACTGTGGCTAATTTTCCCGAAAGCGAGAAGATGTCCTGCCAAAAACATCCCCTAAAAAACCGGAAGGAAGCAACGACTTGAGTTGTCTTGGATTTAATTAACAGCATTCGGGGCGGACAGCGGGACAGGCGCAGAGAATCGCTCCACTTGATGTGGGTCCTGCGAGCAAATAAAATTCCATTCGGAGAAAGGGCTATGCGAGGAGCGACAGTAGTCAAAAGTTATAAGCTCGTTTTGGAAATAGTTGGGAAAAGTCCTAAGCCAAGGGAAAATGCCAAATGGAAAACGAGAGATGAAGCAATTATGAGGTTTTCACTAATGGGAATATTTTGGTCAGCAAAAGGAAGGCGAAGGAGACGTTGTCGACTGACCCAAACCGCAAGATGTTTTCCCAAAAACACCAAAACTGAAAATATGTGGCAAGTATTTTGTAATTTAAGAGCTACATCTATCATAAGGCATTTGGGCGAGTAAGTGTCTTGTGGAAATTGTTAGGGAAATTCTTTCAGGGAAAGTGTTCGGGAGGAAATTACTTGAAGTCAGGGTGGGGAATGTATTAAGCTGATTTTCTGTTTACTTTTAAGCAGGAAATACAACATAAATATATCTTTAGCTTGTTTATAAATTACTAGATTCGAATCAAGCATTTAAGTTAAAGAAAACAATTTTAAAATATTTTTTAAATTAGATTTCGTATGAAGTCTATAGAACAACTGCATTTTTCATGCCCTGAAAAACCCTTTATATTGATCCTGTGATTTTTCCAGCAGCCAAGTCCAAGTTCCCACTTGTTTTCCTCCTTTTTCCTTGTACTTACTTCGACCTGCAACGAAAAGAAAAGAGATACATAGACATTAAAACAGTTTGCACAAAAAGCAGCAGCCTTCGGACAATTTAAAATTTAATTTACTTTTAACGCGAATCAATAAAATATCGGAAATTGATTAAATTCCACGACGTCAGAGAGAAGGGAAACTTTCCGCCTGGCCAAAACGTGCGAAAATTCCCGGGAAGCCATTATGGAGGGGGGCTGGGAGGCTAAAAAACAACCTTCAAAACAAATGTAGCGGCACTAATGGCAACGCGACCAAGTCATGCCCTAAGTTAAATCGTTGGAAAAATTGAACAAATCAATTTTGTCAACAAAATGCCAAAGCTGCCGACGGGCGCGAAATTAAACCAGAGAAATCCAAAAAGGCCGCCCGAAAGGGGGAGGACTGACAAGTGGGCGTGGCTGTTGTAAGGTGTTATCACGGTTTTAAATTTCACACGCAGCCGACAATAAAAACAAACTGAAACTCTAAAAGAAGGCAAAGGACCAGCCGGAGCAGGAGCAGGAGCTGGTAGCTGGCCAGACCTTGAACCTGTCAGACAGCCGGGAGACGATGACTGGGAAAATCCAAGTCATGGTGACCTACGCCCACCCACCCACTGTGTAGAAACGCATGTTGGCAGGGCGGAGATAAGCTGGAGCTGCATGCCAAGGCGTAGCAAGGACATGGCCAAGGGGTTGCCAGAGTTATCCTGGCTTCTCTCTATTTTTTTTGTGCTTTCCCAAAACGCCTTACAATGCAACAATTGCTTTTCCCTCTCTCTGCTCTTGGTGGAAAATTGTGATTTATAGCGTGTTAAATTTTTCATTGCTTTGCTGCGCAAATTTGACACAATAAAAGTTTTCCTTCCAAGCTTTTCTTTTGTTGAGTAGGAAGGGGAGTTGCCGGAAGGCAGGCTCTCGGGGGGTTCTTTTTGGCTTAAATTGGCTTTAATACAAATTATATGAACTCAATCAAGGTTGGAATGGGTGGTGGTGGAGGGTTTTGGGAGTATTTAAGGATAGGTTTATAAGGTGAAATTAGTTTGAAAAGGAAGAAATATATTTTGGAAAACTTATTCAAATAAATAACATAGGTCTTGGGTTTGATATAAATATTCTAAATAATTCTAATTAATTTTGAATTAAAATCAAAGCTTACTCTATTATAAAATCTAAATAAAATCAAAGTACCCATCTCATTTACCGCCAAACAAATCCCAAAACAAAACCCAACCCGTGGCCTTTTTCTGGTACTCCACAAAAGCCTGCAGAAAGTAAGTAGTAACAACAAAAACCAAGATGCGCACATTCACATAAATTCCAGTTCATCAAAATAAAAAAAAAGAACAACAGACCGAGAACAGACGGCGGAGAAAAACAAAAACAGAAACGGGAAGATGTCTTCATCATCAGCAGGCCGGGAATGACCCAACTTGGCGATGCCAACTGCTGGAGAGTCTGGACCAAAAAAAGAGCTGGAGATGAAGATGAAGGCTGCTGCTGAGGCTGAGGCCGAAGCTTCTTGCAGCCGCCACTGGGGCATATGTTTAAAATAAACGCATTTGTTTTATTTATGCTTAACATGAGTTGCAAATGCCAAAAGAAGAAGCAACCGGAGCTGGCACAAAAGGAATCTGGCCAGCAGGCCAGGTGGGTCTTGCTTTTAAGGCGCTGGAAATGAATGAGAGTGCTCGCAATTAAGTTGGTTTCTGAAGGATTTCAGTATTTTGGAACGACACTCGTAACAAAAATTGCAGCGTCCGAAATTGACTTGTAAAGATCTCAAAACTAACGGGCCACACACACAGAAAGCGTCACAGGGGAGATAGAGGTACAAATAAAGATACAGATACATTTGGAGATGCAGATACAGATGGAGATCGAGGTGGAGATCGAAGTTGAGATCAAGCTGGAGATGGAGACCGACCAAGAACCACTCACCTGAGCCCGCGCTTCGGTGTAAGCGATCTGTTTTGTGGCGATCGCAGCTCGTATCTGTCTCTAATGATCGCACATTCGAGCCGAGATCATTAATAAGCCATAAAAGACTCGGAGAGAGATGGATGGGGGAAAATTTACATTCAAGCGGAAAGTGAAAGCTATCGATTTGATTGATGGCCCGATCGATTGATAATCATAGTTCTCGGGGTAGAGACTCCCGACACCCACACATAAAACCCCACCTGGACAGACACCTGGATGAATATTGACATGACGACGCTTCAGTTTGATTGCACGTTTAATTGAAGTGATTGACGCCCGGTGACACTCGCAATCGACAAACGATGCCGATGTTGTTAGCCGGGCTAACTTTGTCAGCGTTTTGTCTATCGCTCAATCGATCGCATCGAAAATAGCCAGGCCAAGTCGGGGCCTAGTCGGGTTTAGTCAGGTAGCTCGCCAAACGCCAAAGGCTAAGCGACAACATTCCTAAGCATAATTTGCTCTCCTGCATGAAAATATTTTTAAAGCATATTTCTTAATTGCTCTATCAGTGACGGCAACGACGACGACGGCGGTATTTTGCTTGTATTCCCTGCCATTTGCCACTGCCATAGCCATAGCCTCGAGGCTAATTTGCATAGCCCTTGCCGGCTTTGCATATGAAATTGTCAGCCAAAGGAACTCCTTTTGGCTTGGGGCAAGGCGCTTCATTGAATATGCTTTATGTACGAGGTTGAAGGTGTCAAAACATGTTGATTCAAACGCAAATTGAAGTCGGCAAATGAAAGTAAGAAAGCTTGCAAGTTGATTGGGGGTATTATTATGGAGAATTGTGCCTGAGCACTATAAATAATTAGTATTGTATTTAAAGTGCAAATTTATGGTTAAAAATATAAATACAAGTCATCTTGGGTACACATTTGTTACATAAAACTCATCATTAACCTAGAAAGACCTATATAGAATTTTCACAGAAATTACCATCAACTTTAAAGTAAATGAGCTAAGCTAAAGCTTTCGAGGTATTACATACACAAATTTTATATTAAATTGATTAATGTAAATTTAAAGCATTTTACAGGGTTTCTTAAATTAATAAATATATTTGCCTTATCTTTCTAAAAGAAAATGTGAAAGTAATTAACTATGGAAAGCCAAAGTCTGTATACCCTTCCAGTTTGCAATGGGATCAGGAGACGAAATCTATCATAACTAAGTAAAAAATTCATTAATTCCAATTCGGTAAACAGTTCTGAGTTAGTTTTTAATAGGTTAACAATTTTGCATACCAAATTTAACATTTAAAAAAATTTAAATTTTTTGTGATTTTTGAGAATTTTAATGATGTAACCCCTTATCATTTTTTGAAAAAATTAAAAAAAAAATTTTTTCTTTTTACATGCCTAAAAAAGTTTGCCTGCTTTTGCTGATCAAGAATATATATGATTTATAGGGTCGGAAATGACTACTTCACTGCGTTTTTGGCTTCAGACTGAAATTATAACCTTTAAAGTATATTTTTATACAACCTTAAAGAATAATAATAAGAAATCTATAAATAAGATCTTTAAAAGTACGCTTTATATTTTTTGATACCCTTTTTGAGACCTTTTTTACCTTTTGCAAGTATTTACTTTTAAGCTAAAATATAAACAAATATAAATATATAAAACAATCCCTTTTAAATCTATTATAACCCTTAAATAAACACACACTTCCTGTGTAACCCAAAACCCCCTTAAACCTTAACTGTAATTTCCCCCTAAACCGTTTCCTATTAGATAATCTCTATTGGATCTCTCCTCTTAAGGAGGAATCCCCTTCAAAAACGATCGAAACGAGCCGAGAGATGCCGAGGCAACCTTTTACGCGCTCTCACACCTTTAGCGACTTAATACTTTGGAGGAGATATCGCTTACATTTATAGCATTGATTGGGTCCGTGAGCCTGGCTGGCCGCAGAGCAACAACTGGTTTGACAAATTGCAAACCGCATTTTCCGCTGATATTAGCAAACAATTTCATTAAGAAACTGTAATCAATCCGATGGCCTGGCTTGGCATGGAGCATCAGGTGGCCTGCCACTGGGATTGCTTTTGGATTTGGGTTTGAGAGAGATCCGAGATGTGAGATTGTCTCAAGTACGGCGACACTGATATGGGCAGCCAAAGTATCTGTATCTGTATCTGTAACTGCAGCGGTGGATGTATCTGATGCCGTAGCTGCAGCTGTATCTGTATCTGCGCCTTAATAGACTCGTTGCTTTGGCTTTGTGCAATTGAGGTGTGAACGTTTTACGCTTCTATGGATATTTCGACTAAATTAGTGCACTTTTATGGGCTCTCAATTAACGCAATCCTCGGGGCTGAGTCTCGGATCTCAGGTCTCAGGTTTTAAGCTCCAGTTTCTCCAATTAGATCACTCAAAGTCTGAATCTGAATCTGGCTGATGATGTTCTGAGCTACTTTCACCCTAATGAACACATCAGAGGCTCTGATCTTGGGGGACCACCCGAAACGATCGATTGAGCAGAGTGTTTGTTTATTTTGTTTCTCTCTGTCGTCGACGGTAGTCAGCGGGCTCGGAGGTATCCATAAAAATAAAATTAAATCGAGAGAACGCTGCCATCTCTGAGGCGATCGTCCGACAATCAAGCCGCCACTAATGAATATTTAGATTGGCCAGCAGAAGAAAAGAAGTCGGAGAGCTAACAAACCCAGCGGCAGGCCCCAAAAATAATTTGTAGATCAATAAATGTTCGCTTTATGGCTCTATTAGCGGCGATAGCCCCCCCGACATAGCGTCGTGTGTGGCCCAAAAAAATATGGCTGGGTTGCAAAACAAATATGCGAATAAGTGTGTTCACACCAGGGCGATGCCAACATTAACATCAATCTTCCACGGATCACCGAGATGCAAACCACTCGAGTCGGACCACACCAAAGGTCCAGTCCAGCCTTCTCCTCTTGCTTCTCCTTCTTGATTCTCATACTCTTGCCGCGATGATCGTCCCTTGAAGATCATGATTATGATCATCGAGATCAGGTTGGGGACGTGGGGGGAGCCCAGCACAGTGAGCAGTGAGGCAGAAGATCGGACCGGGGTCCCCGCAGCCCAGATGCAGAAGGTCCAGTAGAAGGTCTCTGGTTTTTAGCCTCCTCTTAGTTTGGTTTAGGTTTCAGGAACTTATTCAGTGCCCTGCTTTTAGTTAGAGTTTTATTATGATAGGATTAAGGGGTAGTATATCATCGATTAGAGGAGACAGAACTAGAGACCCCATAAAATCATAAATACTCTTGATCAGCATTAAAAGGAGAGAAAGAAACAATTTGAATTTCAGTATGCAGGTTTTCTAATCTAGATAAAACTAGCACAGTAATTTTTTCGCCTAGTTCTAATATTTGTATACCCTTTTATTTAACTTCAACAATTTTAACTTCACTTTATTGGCAAGCCTTATATAATAGTCGGCTATGCCTTGCTTTTTGTGTGGCAGGGTGTCTGGCATGTTAAATCTTGAAATGTCTTAATAAAACAATTAATAGCACAGCTGAGCTCATAAGATTTTTTCTTTTCATATTTCTTTTTTTTTCATGTTTCGGGCGCACACACAAGATCTTGAAGACAGGAGCGCAGTCAAGGGGACAAGACTTACAAAATTAAAGATGTATGATAAAATATATATAATAATTTAATATTTGTTAATCTTTAACTCATTATAAATAAACCTCTCATTTAAAATTGAAAAAAGAACTGATCTTCAGCTTGAAAATTAAAGTTAAAATAAACGCTCTATCTAGGACAATTTTAATAGATATTTTTTAAGCTTTCCTCCCTTTAAAAACAAGGATTTCCACACCACTTCCTTAACACTGGAGTATTTTACTTGCTACACCTTCTCCTTGACCCGATTAGCTCCGCTCCTGAATCATTTTTTTCTTCACGGGCTAAGCTGTGTGGGGCAGACAAAAAGCCAGAGACAGAGCCCCAGTCAGAGAGCCAGAAAGCCAAAAGCCGCACCGATCGTTCCGTATGTCGTGTACGTACTATAAAGTAATTGAAAAGCACAACAGATTGTTTTAAATATCAGCAGGGCGAGCCGCCCAGGTTGACCACCTGTGCGCGCTTGGTGTTCGCCATCGGTGGATTTATGGCTTTTGGCCAGGCCTCTGAGTACGTACTCATACGCTGCTCTGTCTGATATTCTTGGCCATGCAGCTGATCCCGATGATCATGATCATTATGATCATCATCATCATGAGGGGGCTCTTATGCTAATTTCGAAGACGAAGTCGCTTTGGATTCTGGATTCAGATTCTGATTCCGCCATGTGGACCACACACGTTGTCGATTCGCATGATCTTCTTCTCGTCTCCAAGAGATTGAGGGAAAAAAACGAATTATAAAGAGTATTCGCCACTGGGTTTTTGGGGCTGTTTGATAAATTATCGATAAAACGAAGCGATCACTTTTAATTTGGCTTAGTTTTACCTACCGCATTCTTTGGTATCTTTGAAAGGCTAACAGCAGCCCAGGAATTTTTTTATCTGCTCTCTCTCTTCCCTTGTTGTTGTTCTTCTGTTGTTAATTAAGTTATCAAAGTTTTTATGACGTCAGCAGGTTGTCTGATATGAAGAGTGAGGGAGGAGGTAGCAGTGAATGGAAGAAAGGGAGAGCTGGCTGGCTACTGGCGCCAGAAGACGCCGACATAGAAGACGACTCTGCGCGATCGGTTCTTCGGCCTCTCTTTAGGCATCTTGACAATTTCCAGGAGCTGGGGGAATATTGTGTTGGGCTTAGGGCTCACAATAAGGAACTTTTCGATACTCTATGTTTAGAGGAATTAATTTATTTAAGAATTTTCGTATAATTCCCAAAATGGTTTTAGATTAGGGAGCTTTAAATAAGGCTTATTCA